GCTCTCTACAACTACCTGAAAGGAGGCTGTAGCGAGGTGGGTGTCGATCTCTTCTCCCAAGCAACAAGCGAGAGGATGAGAGGAAATGGCCTCAAGTTGCACCAGGGGAGATTTAGATTGTGTATTAGGAAAAATTTCTTCACCAAAAGGATTGTCAAGCTTTGGAACAGGCTGCCCAAGGAGGTGGCTGAGTCACCATCCCTGGAGGTATTGAAAAGATGTGTAGATGTGGCGATTAGGGACATGGTTTAGTGGTGGACTTGGCAGTGCTAGGTGTACGGTTGGACTGGATGATCTTAAAGGTGTTTTCCAACGATTCTATGATTCTGTGAAATATATCTAAGAGACTATTAAGAGCATGCAAGTCCTTGCTTAAACAGTTTGTATTAAAACCTGAGTTTTGCATATTTATCCTCTTCTCTCTTAATTCTCTTCTTACTAGACTATTCTTTGTGGCATGGGAGAACTACACATAGAGATCATTCATGACCGAATCAAACGTGAATATGGAATTGAGACTTATTTGGGACCTCTTCAAATAGCATACAGAGAAAGCATCCTGAATGCTGCCCAAACTACAGGTAAAATGAGTGAATGGAAGGAACATCTTGTTTCCGGTTTTGTAGCTTGATTTACTTTAAATGACCTTATGAGTAACTTTCAGATGAATTTTATGTATTAGGTTTTTTCCCAAGTGGGTGGTTCGCCTTTTTTTTTTTTCTGCAGATACATTGGACAAAACAGTAGGAGATAAACGACACTTTGTAACTGCAGAGTTAGAGGTGAGGCCCAGGTTAGGGGAGAGAGCAATGACGAAACCTGTCATCGAGTACGCTGCGAGCGTCATTGAAGTGCTACCCAAAGAACTCCAAGGAGCTATAGAAAATGGAATCACGAATTCATGCATTCAAGGTAAAGGAAGTGCTATGACAGCTATACTGGCTTAACATTTTTGTAAGAAGCAATTTAATATGTTTCTAGGCGGAAAAACTCCTTGGTAGCTTGAAAACGAAAAGATAGTAGATATTAACATTAGATTGAAAGGAAAATTCTGAAACTTCCTTAACTACCAAAACTGCCAAACGCTCCTTTCCCTATGCCAGGAATGGAAGTCAGCATGCCTTTGGTTTTAAGGTTGATTTCTTCTCAGTCACTCAACAGTGAGCTTGGGGTTCTTTATCTAAGAGAGAAGGCATTTACCTGATGAGATTATGTAAACCACGGTGATGTGACAGAAGTGGTTTTGGAGGCCAACATGTACATACCACACTTCTATTAGCGTTACTAATGGGTTTTTTTGATTTTCAAATGTTAAATCCATGAAAGCATACAGTAAAAAGCCTTATCTAACTGTGAAGTATAGGCTTTCTAAAGGACTAAAAGCATCCTTTACGTTTGGTTAAAAATAGGAAGTATTTAATAACTTGTGGCCGAAGAACTCTCCCTTACAGTAAAATTAATAGGCAGTGGACTGATAAATGAGAACTACTCTAGAAGAAGCAGCATGAGCTGTTTTTTCCATGTTGCTTTGTTGAGTTGGAAAGCATCTCTCATCTCCGGCTGTGGAATGAGTCTTGACTGAGTGCTTTCTTCATGTTCCTTGAAGACACTTCAAAACTGTGCTGTCTCCAGCCTGAAATTCATGCCATTAAGTACTTAAAAAAAAAAAAAAAGATCTGGCCATGTTCTCTGTAAGAAAAAAGCTGTGAGTTTTTCCTCAGATGTGGTTCAGGCCTCCTATCCAGTCTAATACAGTTTTTGGTCTGGTTGAGAGTCCTGGGTTGGAGGGAGATAACCTACCTAGGATACTAGACGTGGTTCATCCCTCATGGAATTGAGTTAACCCTGCAGTTTTGGTAGTGGGTTAGTATGAGGCTTTGCTGTGATCACATTGTGTTGAAAAGGGAAATACAGAAGATATTCTGGCTTCTGGTTAAAGAAAAGGTTTCACTACTTTTTCAAATGAGGTCTTGTTTCAATAGACAAGTTTTAGATATTATAATGTATTAAAAAAACCTTCATTTTTGGGAACGATTGTATGGATGAGCATACTCGGAAACTTCTGGTTCTGAACATTATATATGCTTTTGGTAAAGAGAGTAAGTATGAGTCTGCATTCCTTTGGCTCTTTGGCAAAGCTAGGTAATGACAAAATCACAAAATGAGGAACAAGACCAGTAGTCATGCCCTTGGGGGGAGGAAGGGGAAGGAGAGGGGAAAGAGGAAAGTGAGAAGCTCCAAATTAATCCTGAAACTTTTTTGCGTGTGTCTTAATATTCTGAAAAACAAATGTGCTTTCTTCTCTTTATGTTTTTTTCCTAGGACCTTTACTTGGATTCCCAGTTCAGGATATAGATGTGACAGTGCAATCACTGACGGTGCATCCTGACACCTCCCACACGATGATATCAGCCTGTGTCTCCCGTTGCATGCAAAAGGTACAGTGAAACTGTAAGCTGCTGTAGAACACAGTAGCATGATATACTACTGGGAAAATATATGTGTATCAATATCTGGTAATTGTTCTTCTCTGACAATGTAATGCCCTCACTGGGGACTTCATAGCTTTTGGAAGTAGAGAATTTGAGAGGCAGTGTTAGCTTGAGTTATGCAAGTACTTACTAAAGAGAGTTTCTTAAAAAAAAAAAAAAAAAAAAAAAAAAGAGTCAACATAACTCTCCTTCCCTCCCAAGCAGGCTTTGAAAAAAGCTGGTATACAAATACTGGAGCCCCTGATGAACCTAGAAATCACAGTAAGTGAAGATCATCTCAGTGCAGCACTAGCTGACCTTGCACAGCGGAGAGGTAGTGTTCAGGAAATCCAGACTCGTCAAGATAACAGAGTTGTGGTTGCTGTTGTTCCACTAGCAGAAACGATGGTATGTGATTGTCTTATTAATGGTAAAATGCAAATTTGATCTTTTATATGCTTAAAAATAATTAGGCTTCTGTTCACTTTTCCTGTTGTTATGGATGAATAAGTTTGGAATGGATGTCTTTTATTGTATTTTAATTATTGATGGTCTGAAGCAAGTGCCCACAAATCTAGCAGTGTTTTTGTGCCTGATTCAGACTTGTTAAACCAGCATGTTTTCAACTGTAAGTCACAGTAGTAGTAAATACTACTAAAACAGGTTTTACAGAGAATGGTTTTTTTGAAAGTATATTATTAGGTTGACTCATGCATGTATTGCACTTTTAATACAGTAATATTAAAAAATTAACTTGCTAGTATGTCGCAGTATACTTCTGACTCTCTCTCTCTCTCTCTCTCTCTCTCTCTGACCTAATCAGCTTTCTGTGCTAACTTATCTTCCGTTTATCCTAAATTGAGTGACATGTGTTCTCCATTTTGTCCAGGGCTACTCAACAGTTCTGCGTTCTCTAACATCAGGCTCGGCAACCTTCACTCTAGAGCTTGCCAGTTACCAAGCCCTGAACAGTCAAGAGCAAAGTGCACTTCTTCAGAGGAGGATGGGGTTGGTGTGATCGCTTTACTCCGTAGAACAATAAAGAGACTTTCTATCCTATCCTCTCTGTTAAATATTTTCAGGAGCCTATTTATGTAGACCGGTATGTTCTTCTGGGACCAAATGGTTGTAGTAAGTGATGAATTAGCAGGTGTATGAGCAGACTGTGCTTTTAACTGTCCAAGGGAAGGTTTAAGAGACTGCGTTCTTCTGGCACAGCCTTGTAATTGCAAAGCAGCTGAACCAGAGACGCAACTACAATTTGCTGCTTTGCAAATTCTTATCTTACAGGTATCTGCAATGAGAAGTGATGCAAATGCTCTTTGTAGAAATGAGCACTAAGTGCACCTTAATGTGCCATTAGGACTGTTTCTTACTTTAGTAAGTGAAGTTTGTGAAGCTTACGTCTATAAATGAAATAACTTTACAGTTTTGGCAGTCTGTAGCTTGATTTGTTTTCAGCTGAATAAAAGAATATGGTTTTACTTCCTATATTGTTAGAAACCAGTTTGAACCAGAGTTCAGGACTAAGTGTAACTTCTACCTGAGTTTGCTTTAGCAAGTAAGTGGAATGGATGCTTCTGCAAATTGAGTAAGGTCTGTGCAAAAAATACAAGAAAGGCAGAGTTCTCCCAGGATCGTGACTCCTACCTACCACACTGGAATATGTTGAGGGAGGATTTTTTTTGACCTTTAGGAATGAGTGATTTAGGCTGTAATGGTTCTGATTTGCAATTATCTGGTTACATTGAAGCGTGGCAAATGATAAGATACTTTGAAATAAAAAGATAGTTTGCTCTTTATTTAAATAGTATCTTAGCTTTATTTTCCCTCAACTTTAGAATGCAAGGGAACTGAAATTGGTAACTCTATGGTACCAAGTTTCAGGATTTCACAGGGAAGAACCCAGATTTCTAATGAAAGTTAAAAACCATCATTTTTACTCCAACAAGAATGTCATAACTTTATTTTAAAAGTGAAAAATTTAAGTCTTGGTTCAAATATCAAACTGCATGTACATATACTCATACCCCTGAGGCACTTCAGGTTGTTGACTAGAAGTCTTTGCAGCAGTTACTGCTCTCTTGCTTCATGGGTGCAGTATCCAACAAACACAGGTTCGGCCGCTATGCCACGGCTGTTAAAATAAAGTGGAATGTGCATGATTATAATCAAACAACTGGCTGGTTGTGTGGACAGGAAGAGAGATACTGGCACTCTATTTTAATCTTTGTATTAACAAAACTACCTCCAGGAAATAACAGATGGCCTATTTAGGAAGTGAAAAAGGGCCCTATTCTACCGTTGATTGAAACAGAGAACTGTACTTAACTGAAGTACAATCATCAGATGTACTAGGGTATTAGAAAACAGGTTGAAAAGCTTACATTCAGGGGCTAGTTGTCTCAGTGTTCTGCAAAATCTATTGCTTTTATTGAAGAGAAGTCATAAGAATGAAAATATGAATCAGTTGACATTTGCACACTCCCCTGGCTCCCAACCCCAATGTTTCCTTCATATGCAGCTTTAACTGTGTCATTTTTTTGGGGAGCCAGTTTTAGTAAACAGGATTTCTTCCAGCTACAGTATCATAAATTATTCTGTTCTCATGTGACTTTAAAAACAAACAAAAAAACCCCCTGTAGCTTATGATGGTGCAGTAAGCTAGTACAAAGAGATGTTTCAGAGCTGAAGTAGTTGTAGTTAAAATTCTGCTTCTTGGATATCTAAGAGCTAGATAGTACTGCTACAATGATTTGTATGATAATATATACTGGTGTTTAAATTGCACTTAAGAGCTGCAGTGGAAGAAGCTGAAAAATGAAATAGCTCAGCTGAACTATTGCTTGCCCCTCAAGCCAGACCTACTCTTAGTAAAAGACAGGGTTGTTGTCTAGGTCTCTGGAATATATGGCCACCTTTTTGTTTCCCCCCTCCCATCATCATTTCGCTGCAATTTGGGCTGATGTATGCTATAGGAAGCTGAGTTTAGATCTGAACAGCAGCTACTGCTTTCATGGTACTATTTCAGCAGCAGTGGCCTTGGCGAGGCAGAGCTACTGTCCTTCCAGTGACTGTGATCTAGCTGTTAAAGTTCTACCTACCCATCCCCTCACTCCCTGGTACCCAGCTGCTGAGCAAGCCGGAGCTGTTCGTTCTACTTGGAAATGCTCCTTGGCCTGCTACAACTGCCATGGTCTGAATATACCATGTATAAAAATGTTAGCAGGGACAGAGTCCTTTGCCCACGCTCTAAGACTTTACAACAGCCTGGCTGATTACATCAGCTCTATGACTTTGCACACTGCTAAGGAAGCCCCGTATATGTGAAAGGCAACAGAACTGCAGCTCCAAAGAATGCTCATTTCATCAGTGGAAAGGAAGTGGTTTCTCTAGTGGTTTTTTGGTTCAAAGTCTATATAAAAGGAATAATTTTCAGGAGGACGTGTCCTTTTATTAAGGTAGTCTGTTTATAACAGGAATTGTTCACCATAAGTTTATATGCCAGCAAAGCAGTTTTAGCACCAGAAAGTAGTTTAAGGAAAAAGTGTGCAACAAGTACAGGGAGTAGTCCTTCGTCTGCCCCTGCATTCTGCATCTCTCATGCTAGCACTGCCAGAGCAGCTGCAGTCGTCTGGATCAGCTCCCTGTACAGCAGTGCCAGCGTTAAGGAAGAAGATGGAGATGCAGCAATAGTTAACCAGGTCCAGGAATAGCATGGCTTAGTTCACAGTAAAATCCTAATCCTAGAGGTACAGGCACTGTACACTTCACTGTTCAGTTCTATCAGTGTCTTCTCTGAACCCCATCAAGAGATGTTCAGAGATCCTGATTAAGTCCTGTTAAGTGATAGGACACATGTTTTTAAAGCCCTTTAATCTTGTTTTTAACATGTATTTGTTAACTCTCTCTTAATGTATATTTTTCTCATGACTGAGGGAGATAACACAATTTACCATATAGCTATTTTCCTATAGCATTATTTTAAGCCAGCTTGAAATAAACCCTACGAGTCTTTCAGTCACTCTTAACTTGATTAATTAAAGAGCTAGTTTATACTGTAAGCTAAAAGTCAGCAATTCCAACAGATATCAAGCTAAGACATGTACAGGAACATGAGCAGAGTGCTTAAGTGCTGACTGTAACTGCCATTGTATCTTGTTCTCTAAAAAGCTGATTTGTATCTACCTTGAAATACTTCTTCATGCTGTTGGGATTTTCAATGACTTGTCATAAACTTTGAGAAGTTAAATGGCATGTTGCATTCTTGCTGCAGTCCAACTTAGTAGCAGCATTTGGGAAAACCTAAAAGGCTCTCTGACTGTATATTTTAAAAGTGGAGTCAAACTTGGACTTAAGACCTAGAAATCACTCATTTCTACAACTGCAAATATACAAAGACAGCACTAGCAATAATTAACCAGTAACTTGTCTAGGTACTTTTTAGGAAAGAACTGCAGAGAAGAATGTGTTATGAACTGACTTTGTTTACAGTAGTCATAAATGAATTAAAATTTATCAGGGACTCCTTATCCCCCTTTCAGTCCCTACGCTAAGGCGATACCTGAAAGAATAGCTTGCTCAAGCTCACCTCTCATGCAAACAGCTCCACTTGATTGCCTGCTGCAGGTCTTTAAATAATTAACAACTTTTTTTAAAAGTCTACTTTTTCTCCTCTCTGTGTACTCCTCCCACATACCCTTTAATATCCTTTTTGTCTGAAACAAGTCAGTCACAGTGTCAGTTTTTCCTTTAGAGGAAAGAGACATAGATGAGTTCTAGTCTTTCACTGAAGGAAGTTAATGAGTTCTGAAAATGTTAGTTGCAAAACTGTCTAGAACTCCTGTCTTAGTGTATCTGTTGTTCCTCTTCTGTGGATACAGAAACACTGGGGATGACATTTACATAGTCAGATTAGACTGCTAGCTCCCCTCCCTTCATTTCCGGGCCAGCAGTTTAGGCCTGTACTTGAAATCCATTGGTTATAAGGCATGAGAACCAAGCTTTACTGTAGCTGTTAATCTTACCGGAGCATGCGGCACCGATGATTGGTCAGTCTTTTATAGGCATCCTGCAA